TGCCATATATGATGCAGCCAGTAAACCATTAGACAGAAACTCAACAGAGACTAGGAGGACTAAGATGGATAAACGATAAAATTTTAAGATATTTTGAAGAGAGAAGGAAGCATAAGAACACTTAGAATGATCATAGAATATAGTAAATATGAATGCAAATAAAAAGAGTTAAAGAATAAAATTAATAGAGAAACTAAATTTAAAAGAGAAAAATGGTTAGAAGAAAAGTGCCAAGAAGTGGAACAATTGCTTAGGAATAACAGTATGGATCAAGCGTATAATATCATTAAGAAATTCTTCAGAGAAAAAACGAAATTAAATAACAAAATATGTGATATAGATGAAAATTTGATACTGAACAATAACAAAATAGCAACAAGATGAGAAAAATATCTTGAAGCATTATATCAACGAAGAGAAGTAATCCTTAGAGCAAATTCAACAAAACTTTAAAGTTAATGAAAATATGTAAAGCAACCGGTATATCATAGCTCTGGAACTAATTCAAAATAAAAGTACATAATTACAAAATGAGCTATTTGAATGAGTGAATAATATACATACTATGGGAGAAATCACAGATGATTTTAAGGAAATAATTATAATACCTATATAACAACTAATAATTGTATGAATTCAGAGCAATAAGTTTAATGGTACACGCAGCTTAAATTTTAGTTTAGATAATATGCAGTTAAATTGGGAACATAGTAGAAAAATAATTCAGAAACGACCAATTCAAGTACAGAAGGAATAAAAGTATTAGAGAGGCAATCTTAAGTTTAAGAATATTGGTAGAATAACAAATAGAATTTAGTAAAGACACATTTATAGCGTTTGTAGATTTGAAAAAGGTTTTCGATTAGGTATTATAGAAAAAACTATTCTTTACTTTAAAATGAATAGGAGCTGATTACAGATGTAGAAAGATTCAGTTACAATAAAAGTAATTGACAAAAAAAAGACAGTGATAATTAGGAAGGGAGTAAAATATTCTCACCAACTATATTTATTATTTATGCCAATACGCTTATTAAAGAAATTAGATAAATACTTCTCAAAAATAAAAGAGGCATAATTGTGATTGGAAAAATAATATCTTTTATAAGATTCGTTGATGATATTACATTCTTAGCACGATTTTGAAAAGTCACTATAAGAGATGTTAAAATATCATTTAATTATAAACTGGCAAAAAAATGAAGTTCTGGTGAGCCAAAAATTAAATTAAAAATTAACCAAGATGGCAGATGCATTATGGAAATAAAATACAGAATCGCACAGGCAAAGTCAGCTTTTATGAATGAGAAAAAAGGTCTATGTTCCTATAGTACGAGTATAAGTAAGAGAAAATGTTTCATACAATTATAAGTAATGAGTGGATATACGTCATTTCGCCACAGTAATTTCGTCGTGGTCATTTGGACGCATGACGAATAGCCGCGAACAACATTTCGTGGCATAGGTATATTTATATAATTCTTTTTCCTATATTATATACAAATCTTAAAGTATTATCGCAAATATATTATATGGAATGTACATATATATTTTATCTTATAATTATATTATGTGATAATCTTATAGTATTATCAGTTAATTAAATTGACTAGTTAAAATAATACAATTTAATTTTACTCGAAATTATATCTATTTCGTATAGGTATAATACTATGATTGTTGTAAAGTATTACCATACATTGACTACGCGTGTGTATTATATATGTAATATATGTTTAAATGAAAAAAGTGTTCGCACAGGTAAGATTTTAACTATTATTTCTCATAATTTTAATTTTTATAAATGCTAATATTCAAATGTAATATTTTAATTTATATTTAGTATTATAATAAATAAATAATGATGAATTACCAGAGTTGTATTGTAAAATTATAATATTATTTATTATAAATATATATATATTTTTATTAAAATAGAAAATTTACAATATGTAACATATGTACATACAATAAGCAAATAGGATAAATTATAAAGATAATACTTAGAATATTTACAAGATAATAGTATGAGGGAAACTGTTCAGCGACAGAACCCTCAATATATATATATGGGACGAAATAAAGCACGATTAAATGTAGTATGCTTCAATATTACACGCGATGAAATGTTGTATGCGACCATTTGTCGTGCGTTCAAACGACCTCGTCGAATTGTCGTGTGACGAAATTGCCATGACGAAATGACGGTCATCGCATTAAGTATGACGCTATACAGCTATGAAACCTGGATAATAAATAAGGCAAAACAACGAATCCTCGAAAGCTTTGAAATTTGGTGTGGGAGAGGATGCTGTAAGTTAGTTGAATAGGACATCGTACCATCGAAAGCATACTTTAGGAAATAAATGAAAACAGAGAGATACACAAAATCATTAAAGCAAGACGATGGAACATGATTGGTCACATATAGAGGCACGAAAATGAACTAGTTTTTAGAATAATAAATGGGAAAATTGAATGTGAGAGAGACAGAGGACGTCTAAGAACTTAATAAAGCAAATTATATCAGATGCTGGACTGTTAAGTTAGACGTTAGTTTGACTTCGAAATTCCCTTGAAAATAAAAAATGATAAAATGTTCTGATAAAACAGCTATATTATTATATAGGATCCGATACTACTCGATACGGGTATTATAAGCAGTTGCGTTGACTTTTACCATATAGGTACTATAATGATTATATGAAAACATAGGCTGTGCTCATAATAATGAAAATTGAGCACGTGTTATTGTTACGCATTATAATGTATAGGTATTTCGATCAAGAAATATTGTAAGTTAAATTTAAAAATAAATATATTTTTAAAAAAGCGTAAATTAATGGATGGTAGTGATATTAGAGCAAATGACAACAATTTAAATATTGAAATTAATATTAAACAATTAGCTTTAATAAGTGATAAAAGCTTAAATTTAAAAGTTAAACGTAAATATGTTGATAATTATTTATATTTTGGATTTACGAGGAAAGGTGATATTGATTGTCCTTAAATAGTTTGTATCGTTTCAACTGTTTCACCCCTTATAGTGAAATTATGTAAAAAACACCAGTCTTAAATATCACATTAAATTTGTATCATATATATTATATATAATGATGACATTATGTATATTAATTATTATTTATTTAAGTGTGCCGTTAAGTAAAAAATGTTGGGAATCTCTGGATTAGCTGGTAACAAGGAAGAGTAAAGAGCGCGTGTCTGACTATGAAACCAACCATAGGATTGAATACAAGAAGATATATTTTATGGATAGCTTAATATTGTTAATAATATCCTAAAGCAAGTCAAGAAGAATATATACAATGAAATACAATTATATTATAAGATATTTTATACATTTTTTATTATAATCGTTACATTATTAAACTGTTTATTAAATATAATTTATCAAATGCCACTATTGTTAAGAACAGTATACATTGTGACAAAAGTAAAATTATAATTCAATGTTACAATTACTACCTCATCAAATTAATTTCATATTTTCAATATTATAAGAGGATATAAGCGATAAAAGTGGGAACCAAATGTTTTTCACTTGGTAAACTCAATTTTCATTAATGTTGCATGTATCGACAGTTATAGATTGAAATATTTTAAATATTTTATTACTAAACATTCAGATGAATACTACCGATTGTATGATTGAACGTTTTAACTACCGGTTATCCTATAATATACGTAATTTGGCTTAACCCCAAAATATATATTATAGCCCATTTTGCCTTTTACCGGTCGATATAGGAATAGTGCAAAATCTTGTTTTGTTCTTTTGAAAAGTAGAAAAATCATTGCTTAGTTTTATTCGCCTTTAACCAGTCTGGTGTAAAACGCACTATAATTATTATTATTTATTATGTGTTTATCATATTATTATTGTTGAATACAATATTATCGTAAGTTGTTATACTTAATTAATTGCAAACTATTTGTAAAGCAAAAATGAATTATTTATAGAGGAATCATGTATTTATTTTTAGCGAATTTTTATTCGATGAATAATTTTCAAAGAACGGTAGAGCTCGTTAAATAGAGGTTCGATTGATATACATTGTTGTACTTGTCGTTGTGGTGTCCATCGAATTCAGACCCCTATAATTCGATCGTTTGGTAAATAATATCATATATTAATATAGTGGCCAGTAATCGCATTTCGAGTGATGTTAATAAATTAGAGTGAAAAAAATCCACTCGCAAAACCAGACCCGACCCGACCCGTCACTTGTTTATACATTACGTGTACAATATCATTTGATGGCGACTGGTTGGTTTGACGGTAAACATTTCTCTCGAGGGGCCATATAACAGACAAAAAAAAAAAGGCGAAAAAATAAACGTGAACTGGGGCGTGTGATATTTCTCGTGGTGGCGGTATCGGTAGCGAATTTACACGCAAGAATTATAGATATGTGTCTGCACAGTGGCACATTTCTAAGGGTGGCAAATTTTAAAGGGATATTTTTGAAAACGACGGTATTGACTACGGGTGCTTATAATATTTCTATTATAAACGTATTATTGTATCCATCCTGTAAAAGGATATCAATTTTTCATGATGTAATACGAAGTCAATAGTATTATCAACCTGTGTACATCAATACAGTCGGAAGCCGACGGCGTTCAAACGCATATAATGTTGGTGGCCGTTTCACAGACCCTTTACAATGAATAAAAACGGTACCGAAAACTAACGGTTCTGATCAGCGAAAATAAAGTAAAGTTGTTGATACAAGTTATACGTAACATAAAATTCCAAAGTCGAGCGCGTTTGGACAGATATAGTATTTGTACGTGATTGTTTTGGGGCCGAGCAACATCAGGTCCGTCGGGCGCGCCGCGTGTGCCGCTACCGCACTGAAACGCCGCCGCCGCCAGATCGTCTACCGGTCCACCATCGGTAGCGACGACGCGGACGCCACCGACGCCGACGCGGACGCCACCGCAATAACCGAACGGCCGCTACCACGCGACAGTGAAGCGCATAGTTTCGGGCCGCGTACAAGGTGTGCACACGCCGTGTCGTCACGCCCGTCAATCGTCGCCGTCTCGCGCGTGTGTTCGCGTTCGTCGCCGCCGCCGGACGTCCGCGTGTTTTCGGTCTGCGATACGCCCTGCGCCGCCTGTCCCCTCCCGAAAAATCACGACCCCGGGGTCCCGGCGATCGCCCCCGACGTACTGCGGTCACGCGCGCGCGTTCCCTTTTCGCCGCAACAGGTCGCCGTCGCCGTCCGACTTCGCCGTAACCGTTCGCGGTTCCACCGCCGGTCACGTGCCGACGACGATGACGCGCTAACAACTGTATGTCGCACGTGACTCGTCCAGCACAAGCCGCCGCAGACGCCGCAGACGCCCATCCGAACAATTCGTCCGGCTAAATGGACGTGTACGTCTTGTTACAGGTAAGAACCCGTTTTTCGTACACGAACCCACCGTGTTCCCGTCGCGGGCACGACCACCGGTGTTGTTGGCACATCCGAGGTCCGCGCTACTTCTGTAGGATCCCCGACCGGTGTCCCTCTCGCACCGTGGTCGTACGTGTCGGGCAAGAATGCGGGGTGAGGTTTCAACCCTCGTCCCACAAATATCAGAAGAAACTACTTATTCAATAGTTATTTCAAAGTTTCCCGCGGAACTTGCAAGTAAAATACGTAAACACATAAAATACATGTGACAAGCATGATATTTATCAACGTTTGTATTTAAAATTTTTTTAACACCGCTTCCCCGGAAATTTTTGCCCTCTGGTATATGTTCCACACAGGTGTTTTAGTTTCTCGTTTTTTATTTCTAACCGCTCCAATTCATCGACTAAATCGAATACCCGTTGTCTAATTGCGATGCCCAGAGCTTTTATAGGAATAATAAAATATAAATTATATTTAAATGTTTTTAACCATTCATTATTTGTTGTACAAATTAACATAGTGTAAATAATTCATTTTTATAGGGTAATGTTATAGTCTACCTTCTCAATATTTCTTCTTTGATTTCTCATTGTTTACGTAGCATAAATTATAAATATCCTTCTTTTAATTAAAAAGAAAAGCGTGAAACGTCTTCAAAGTACGTAGCCTGGAGCGTCAGTCGCGAAAGTCCCTACACCAGATCGTCATCTCACGACCGTTTTTTCACCATAAAATAGACGAATTTTAAGGCGTTCTTTCGATTGTATCATAGAGGTACGATTTCGTATCTAGGAATTTCTACGTATGTATAGAGTTGGTGAAACGTTTTTTTTTCGCAGTAGCATGATGAAATGTATTTTTTTTCCATGCATGGGTGAGGGAAGGCCATGCGACGTTGTGATTTTAAATTGTTATAAAGTGATGAGTGAGTAACTTAAAGTACGTAACTTTGTGGTAGTGTGTGTTTTAACGATTTATAACCAGACGATTTTTAACCTTCCTCCTACCGACATTGTCAACGAAGCACGGACACTGGAAAGTGTGTCGTTTATCAAGGTTAATAAATGTCTTTCGCGGCAACGGGTCTAATATATATTGTAAAATCTACGGTAGTATTTACTCGAAACCGTTTAAAATAATAAGTCTTGGGTTCTAGATTAAAAACGGACCGGGATTATATTGTTTTCGGTAAAATTGTTTACTCCCCCCTTTCCAGTCATATTTTTAACGATCTCTTTTTTTATTCTATATTATAAAGGAACAATAACAGTAATTATAATAAAACCCTTTATATAGTTTTTGAGTCATTTATGTGATAATTCGATTTGGGTAATAACTACATGGTAACAATTAATCTTTTAAATAAAAAAAAAATTAAGAATTTAACATTTACTATAATGATTGTCAACAATTTTGATTCAATTAGAAATCATATAAACATTTTTAATAAATTTCAAATCGAAAAACCATTATATTAGTATACATTATAATTGTAGTTCAAAATATCAAAACACAATAGTAATTTAAATTATTTAAATTATTTTCATAAATAAACCTACTGTATTAAAAAAAGAAAGTGAATTTGAAAACGTTAAGAATATTTAATAATAAATTAAATTGTTACTTATACGTTTAAATATGCAGTTCATGTACATTTTTTGTATAATATATAACTAATAATAGTACTATTCCAAAAAATATTTTGTTGTCAATTTTCAAATTGTGTTAAAAATCTTTGGACCAAGAAGAAGGAGCTTAAATCACTTTGAGAAAATGGTCTTATTTTTTAAGGAATAAATGTAGTTTATTAGTATTTATAGTTCAAATCATTTGATCTGGAATAATTATCTTGACGTGAGAGTTGAGAGTATGAATGGAGTGATTTGAATTTATGTACGGCGAATAGATATTTCAAGATTTTGAGTGTTTCTTCAAAAACTTGGGAGGTATGAATGGTTTTTTTTTTGACCAATAAATATTTGCTAAAATAATTGATTTATACACATTTATTTTCTTGAAATATTATTAGTAGATTGTCTTTATCATAAATATAATTTTATTGTTACTTAGTAAGTAGCTTTGCAGGAGTACATTTCAGAAAACTGTAGTAAAGTTTTTCTACGTGTTTCTGCGTAAATAAATGTGTGTAATTTTATAATTTTCCATATAAACAAACTATTGGGTAAAAACATATAACACTAAATTATATGCCATTAATATAATTTGGGTTAGACATGTGTTGCAAAGTTCGAATGGTATACGGATTAATAGTTATTTTTTTGTATTGAATTATAAAATTAAGTTCTTTTGTATTTTTTATCCGCCCACTAGAACTCCAATGATGGTTTTTAATTAATATTTAAAAGTTTTTCTCTTTGGATACAATAGGTATTATAAATTATTAATGTTTCTTTCCCAATGAAAATGGAGAATTTCTTAATGTTTTTCATTGGTGCAGAAATGCTATAAAATTGGTTTCATTTGACCGCCTCGTAAAAATTGTCAATTTTATTTTTTGTATAATTGTGTGTACACGATTGTATTCATTTTGCCTAGTTACAATGCCGTATTATAGTTAAACGTATGTTTTGTTTACTGTTAGATTGAAACTTTTTGAGTACTTTTGAATATAAATTTAAAAGAACAACATTTTATTAAAAATATAAATTTAACTTAGCATTTGTGATAAAGGCTCAAATTGTTTATTTAGTAAAAAATTGTCATGACAACCGAATTGTGAGTACAGTTTTCTCACAACACGCTCAAGTTGTTTTCCCCATAATAATTGTTAATCTGTTTCAGTTTGTATAGCGACATTATATAAGAGATATACTCGTACATATAAATATTTTTAGTTGGGTTTTAGATTAATTTTATAGTTTTTCGATAACTTATCTATAGGTACAGCATATGTTACCCATCATTTATATCGGGAATTAGTAATCCTTTAGTAAAAAAAAGAAACAATTATATAATACTATTAATTATTAATTAGTAAATATTTTTATTCTAAAATTTTTTTAATGTTTTTGTTCACAGGAGGTTATATTAAAAATAAAAATATCAAAAAGTTATTGATAACTTTTTACTAACAAGTAACTTTTTATAAATTATTGTTACTATAACTGTGTATAGTAAAATCGCATATGACATACTATTAATTATTATACTATACATTTGGATAATACCTAAATTATATGTTGTTTAGTAATTTATAAGTTTTGATTGAAATTTTAATTTTTTTTTTATTTATTAATACTTCCATGTTTGGTTTGTTGGAAAAAAATTAAAGCGCCTATCAGTTTGAGTACAATCCGTCATATAAATATAATAATTTAACCAATTTTTTAAATTTGATTTAATTTAGATGTTACCGAGGAACACAGTTTTAGAATTGCTGTATTACATTATAATTTAATTAATTAATACGTTTGATGAATGGTATTATTCTTATTTATCTATGACACATTTATAACACGAGTGACATGATAATTACTTTAACAAACATTAATAACTGTATTAGCATTGTTTGTCTTTCAGTTTGTCGTCAAGTTTCGTTCATCAAAATGTACTTATGTATCAAATTTGAATTTGATTTATATGAAACGAGTATGACGTACTGGGACATACAGAATATAGATATCATTACGTGCATAATCAAAGTATAATCTAAACGGCGTGAATCGCAGTATGCCTAAAAAATATTAGCATGTCAGAACATGATTTCAATTTTGAAAATTTACTCTGACGTTCTAATAGCATTTTAGCGTCAAAATATATTACTATTTACCAGAGAAGATAAGGTATACTATTATTATTATTCTATCATCAACACAACTACCACAATCACTAAAAACACTACCACTACTACTATACCTACCATACTTCCTTCCTACTTACGTAACCTTACTGACGGCACTACCATAACCCAAGTGTTGGTGTGTATAAATATAGTGTTTTTATCCATCGAGAAAGTGTTTTCTGGCAATTTATGAACATTCTGAGTGTAGTTTTTTTCAACGTATATGCGGTTGGAAAATAAAACATATTCATTTATATTCCCTCTGAAACCTTTACGATTAAAATGAAGAATTCGAAGATACTATACAAATTTACAATGAGAAAAAAACAAAAACCTCGCAAAGAATTTCATTCTCATGGAAGTTTATTTTAAACGAAAGTTTTACACTCGTGAATTATTTAGTTTGTAAAAAAAGAAAATGTTTATTCGTGTGTAAGCGATTTTACTACTCGTCTTTTAACGTGGAACTATAATATAGTAACGGAGAACGTTATCGAAAACGACGTTGAAAATTAGATACGCGTAAACATGAACTTATAATATATTTGTGAAAAAAGAGGAGCATTAAGGTTCATTTAAAATATTCGATTTACACCAAACATATTATATTATTTACAATAATATTAATGTTTCATTTTATAGTAGATTATAATTTAGTATAGTACCGTTTGAAAAATAAGAAATATATGAGATATGTTTGACGTACGCCTGAGAGAAAAATATAATCATTGCTTTTATAATGTTTCTTAAATTTGAAATATGTTATAAGTTTTTATCCAGTTTTTCGAGAGTTTAAGATAAAAAAAAATTACATTTCTAACAAATATTCTAACTAACTAATCAATGGAAAAAAATCAATAATTTTTTGAATACATACAAAGGCTTCTGTGGGTTAAATTAAAAAATATAACATAAATACATATTTTTGAAAATTTGCACATTTTTACATATTTGCTAAATATTTAAACTTAAAAGTTTTTTGTAGAAATTAAACTTTTTTAGGACCCACAAAAATCATCGAATTATGTACATAAGTGGCTTGATCGGTTAGCAGTAAGAGAAAGATTCAATACCTTCGAGACATTTTATTACTGTCTAACATATTTTATAGTTATACCAGTGACCAGTTGTGGGCGCGAAAGTTTTTCAAAAATGTCAATTGTAACAACCAAATAATGATCACGATGACACA